AGAATTATCAGAAATTCTCACAGTCGATGAGGGGGGCTCTGTTCTCGAAGTTTTTCTTTATAACTAATACCAAGGTTGTCCTACTCACTTCATTATCAGCGTAAAGGTGTTGTTCACCGGTGTGAAAACGCAAAGCAAACATCTAATGGTTTGACAGTTTTGGTGGGTACGGTGGGACGTTAGAAAACCCTGATTCCAAACCAATGGTCTCTAGGATCCTAAGAAAATGACAGGCGTATGAGAATATTTCGTTCACTAGTTATCATGATACAACATCTGACGTTGCCTTATAGATTAGGCCTTATGGTCAAGACTTGGAAACTGTCCCTTGACGAAAATATCTACTTCTGTTTAGGAGCTCGAGTAGTATCCATACCCCACTCACAAATATGACAATTATGAAGAAAATACTATACACCTATCGATTATAAGCTAAGTTTTATGTTCGACATAATGAATTCTTTGTTTTTTATTTCCCAAACACCTTCCAAATGATAATAAGTAGTGAATGAAATAATTCTTACTTACAAATTTATCTTAATTCATTGTCTTTTTTTTTTAATCTTTTCTTTATAAGAAAAATAGTCATAGACAAATGAATTATTCTATTTATAAATAAATTAAAGATATGAACCAAGTTGATCATTGAAATAACAAAAAACACATCTAACTTGATGAGTAAATAAAAGAAAGATAATTTAATCAGAAAATAAATGACATTAGAAGAGGAAGAAAACTTTTGTGATTAAGGCGAACGACAACTAATAGATAGATAGATAGATATGAAATATATTCAGTTCATTTGAAGGTATTTTTATGTAATAATGACTATGTATGTGTTATGTGTGTGTGTGTGTATCTGTTCATATTCATGATTGTTGTTATCACTAAAATATAGACATAACTGTTTATTCACTAATAACAATTATCATCATTCCTATCAATTTATTATTCATATAGTGGAAAATTAATTATTGGAAAAAGCGGTAAAATAATTGTACATTGAATGGAAATGTCTATATTGTCTTTATTGCCTATATTTTTGAGTGTGTGCGCATGCATTTTTGTTTTATTTTAACCTCTTATTTTCTTTTCTACTTCTGTTCTTTCTGAAGTGTTCAAATGGTGACAGAAATGATTAAGTAGTGGATAATTGTAATAATTATTTATCATTCTTTTTTTTGGGGGGGGATGGAGGTAAATGAATTTTCAAGACGATTAACTTGATAAAGAGATTATATATATATATATATATATATATATATATATATATATATATATATATATATATATATATATATATATATATATATATATATTGCTTATTAGAGATTAGTTTTATTTTAAACCTCTCCTTGAATATCCTTTACATTTTGTGTATATAAGAAACTGGTTAATAAGAATGATGCACAAAATGGAGATTAATCATTTCCTTTTGTTATATCTATTCACAATTCGCAGAATAGATTATCATTGTGAATTTGTATTCAACAGAAAGTTATAAATTAGTGAATGTTTAGGGAAAATGTATTTATTTGACTAAAATGATAGGCGTGTGTGTATATGAATGTTGAAAGATAATCAACAATTTATTTAATGAACTGTATGCTCTAGAATAGATCAAGCACTTTGACAAAGATGTATCTATATGGTAGGATGTAGGATTGAAATGAGGATATTCAAATATTAGAATCAACTTTGGTATTTCGGGACTTCATGTATTTATTATGAATAATTCTAGTTTTGGATATTTAATATTGTAAAGATTTGCGATCCTAAGGCATATTAACAAAAATTAAACGTTTTATGATAATAACAGTATCAGAAGGGGTTTTGTGGAGATTGTAGTAATTTCAATAGTTGAGATCATGAGTTAATTGAAGCTAGACCACCATGGAAAACCTGGAAGCACTGCACGGCCGTTTCGTTCTATTATGGGACTCATCAGCACTGCTGAGGTCTAGCTTCAATTGAATCATGGTCTCAACTATTGAAATGACTACAATCTCCACGAAACCCCTTTTGAAACCAATCAACAGATGCTCACTAGTGACTGGTTTCAAGATGCATATCCTGGAGTTCTAGTGAGAAGCAGTGACCAGTGGATTTCGACCGGGTCAGTTGTGAGATAGTAACTTACTGATGACGATGGTGGATGTGTCGCTTAATTTCGTGGATTAGTTGAAACTAGACGTTAACACCGTTGGATGCCGGCTCAGTGGTCTATTGGTTAAGCACTCGCGCGCGAGGCCGAAGTCCCTGGCTTCGAATCTGGCGGGGCAGGGTCGTGGGTGAGCACTGCTGAGGAGTCCCACAATAGGACGAAACGGCCGTTCAGTGCTTCCAGGTTTTCCATGGTTGTCTAGCTTCAATTGACTCATGATCTCAACTATTGAAATAACAGTATCATTAATTGGTTGTGCTTACTTTATTAATTCATAACAAATAATTGTTGCTTTGGATGATTCAAATTAACATCCTGTATTATTTTATGATTAGTAAAGTGTTGTGGATGCAGAGGAATAGACCAATAATTATCATGCCAAGTCCAATGGTGTCCTTGGACTTTAAATGGACATTTTCTATTGGTCGATATCTGTTCACTTGTGAATATTGTACAAAATGTTGTTTTCTATTTTTATGGTACGATGTGGTATGCTTGGTTAGTATATAAATAGAGTATGTTTGAAATATAATGATTCATATATCCGAGGCTGTGACTTGTGTTCTAGACTTAACTGGCTGGGTTATACAGGGAGGCAGGACCAATCAGAACCCTAGGTCGTTCTACGTGTTTGTGCGTCTTTGGTCCGATCAATAATTCGCTACCCCTTAATCCGCAGCATTATTTTTCACAGTCATAACATAAAGACCTTTACTCTCTAATTGTTAATACTTACAACTGAATTCTGATCAATCTTTGTTGGCATATGTGCATCCTCTGTCCGTTTTGTTACAAAATCATTTAGAATGGATTGTGGCTAGCAATGAAATTCAAGATATTCCATCCTATTAGGGACTCATCAAGGATAATTCACGTGGTAGAATTCTGTACATATAATAAAGCCAGTGATTTAAACTATGTAGTGGCTTGCTTTCGATATTGAAATGTTTAGAAGATAAGAAATAATAACTGGTGAATTTATTAAATTTAATAACTGATTGATAGATACAAATAAGAGAGATCAAGTTAACTCATATCGACTTGATATTAGTTAAAGAGTGATTGATCTAAATACAGAAGAGTAATTTATCTGAATTCATCAATGGGTGGCTGATTTATAAACTTAAAATTGATTTATGGTAGTTAAATTATTATATACTCGACCAAATCGATGATATTTTGTATCGAAGAGAGGTTTTTTAAGAATACCAACCTAAGGTTTAAATAATACAGTTAGGAAGTAACAATATAGAAACATAAACAACTTAGTGGTTGTTTCATACTGAATTGTTATTTTCACACTAATGGAGTAAAAAAAGTATCAACGTAAATTACGGTGCTCAAAGTATCTGGTCAGAATTGTGGTAACTATTTAGAGATATCTCCTTTAGTTTGGTTCACAGGATACACTATTATCATTGAACGTCAATTAACTGATTGAAATGTATATAACCTCTGTCGAACTGCAAAGAAGAGCTGTTGATTGATTTTAAGTATATAGAACACTTTATGTATTCAAGTCACGTACACTTTCAAAACAACATTCGTATAGTCTACCACACTTAGTTCATTTTTTCTATTATAATACTACGATTCGTATTCGATTACTTTGAGATCGTACATCAGAATTTCAGCTCTATTATTGTTCACTAACATATTCGACATCTTCAATGGATGTTGAATCCCGAATATATATATATATACATGAAATTTGGTGCAAAAAAAGCACTGAAAATAGTATGTTCCGCAAAAATAATATTTCTGTATGCGTTAGAAATCTACTCTGGCGCTCGAACCTAGAGAGGTGCTTTTTATAGCTAACCGTTCTTCAAGTTTTCAATTAATGTCCTGATTCACAAAGTAGTGGAGCACTATCAAAAAATCCAGTCTCGTGGTGGTCGATGACCAAAATTGTTCCATTCGCCACTTATCCCTTTTAGTATCATGTAGTTCATGTTTACCACTGTTTTGAAGTAAAGGTTTTCCAACCTCCTTGGTTGAATTCGCCATATCTATCAACAATTTTTCAGAGCTAAGATTTTTTTTGACGCCTTATTCATTCTAAACAGAACCCCCATCAGCATGGATGCAATGAGTGGAGGAACGTATCCTTACTAATATGATCAATTTAATGGTTTTCACTCGGGGATCTCTGGTCAGTGAATGTTTCTATCTCATAAAAATATTCTTGTTCTAGTTGATTCAATAGGATATTGTGTTTTTTGTGTTTATGTTTAAACTCACTTCTAACTTGATTCCCTTCTAGATATTATGATTGTTAAGTGGATATGTTAAACTCAAACTGTAGTTCGTCAATACAGATTTACAAAACCATCAATTAACCTACTTCATTACCCAACTAACTATGGCTACTTCACCAATGCTCAACATTATCAGAGATATCACTAATAAATATAACAGAAAATCACAAATAAATGACTTCATTTTATTGAACAGAGGAAAATAAATTGCAAGTCCTATTTAAATAAAAAGTAGTATTTCATTTCCGTTTTTATTTACCCTGTGTAAATTATATTCATTTAATGGTATACACAAAGCAATTTCTAGTGAATATATATATATATATATATATATATATATATATATTTAAAACGAAAGACATCTACTAACATGAGAAAATATTTCTAGAATGTGTATATGATTCAATTATAATTGATTACTAATATATGTAAACGGCTCCCATTGGAGCCATGTTACAAAGGAATGTAAATCAGTCATAATAATGACAAAATTCTAAATTGATCAGAAGAAAAACTAACTGATAAACCATCTAAAAACGTTTCAAATTATAGTTCAAAGTTAAACAGTTAGCGTATATCAATTGAAATAAACGTCAAATAATACCCTAATAAATACTTTTACAGATGTTATAAGAAAATCCATTCAAACTGTTTAGTGAAATCATTAGTTAGGCTGATCAACCATATTGCACTTTAACTCTGAAGATCTTTAAGTTATTATTATCATTATTGAAGAAATGTAGTAGTTTATTGATAGGTGCTTTGTTTTACTTATTGTTTTCTGATGAACTTGACATTGAACATGGAGGTAGGTGAGATGGGAAAGATATCGGGTGGACAGGAGATGTATATATAACATTACTTGGAATATTACAGTTGCTATCAAGGTGAGTAGTATCCAGTAATTTCGATTTGATAGGTTCAAATGTGATGCTTTTATGATCATCATTTAATAATAAAGAGTCTGACTGTTGAATTTGTGAGTTAAGACGTATGATTAATTTGTATAATTCATCAATTGCATTTGCCTGCATTAGAATGTAATTTTTTGCTAATAACAATGTAGCGATTTTTGACAGTTTTCTTACAGATGGACTGTGTGCATACGGGATAACACTGCGTAAATCATCTAATGCATCATTTAAATCATGCATTCGTCGTCTTTCTCTAGCATTTATACTTAAACGAGCATTTCGTTGATGATGATGCTGAATGTGATGTTTAGTTACATTTCTTGAATGGGCATTTGAAAAATGATGACGGTTTAAATATGTTAATGAATGAGATGTTGTTGTTATTAATGATGAGGGAGATGAAGATGATAACGGCGTTGTTAATTTCCATAGTAGATCATTTTTCTTTCTATCATAAGAGGTTCCGCATTTAATACTTGGGAATAAGATAAGGTCATCATTATTTTTTTGTGATTGAGTGGGATCATGTGAAGTAGTAGTAATAGTGGTGAATAAACAACTATCATCAATATCGTATATTTCATCCATTTATGATAATTATAAATGGAATTAATCTGTAACAGTTTGAAACTTCCTCACATCGTTCTCATCGTATATTGGTCAGGTCTGTTGACCAATCAGAAAAGGACTATGACAAGATGTCAACCAATCACATCTATTCGATAGTTTAGACGAGGTTAACTATTCGTTACAAGGCTGGTTAATTATATTTCTATTAAATTACTGTATTCTCCACAAAACCTCTTTCTGAAATTTCTATTATACAGAAATAAAATTAGTTAGGGAGTAGACTAGGATATTCAGAAGTTCAATGAAATCTTTGGTAATGGAAACGCAAGTATCAGTGTCTCTAAAAGATCATGAAAAGAACATTCATATTTTCAGTACTGTTAATGTTTATATTACCAGTAAATCCTCGTCGTTATAGACTAAATTTGATCTGAATAGAATGTTGACCGATTAATAAATTAATGACTACGTAAGCGAATTCTACCAGTTTTAAACAAATAATTTCGAAATAGTTTGGTACTGGGTATGGTGAATCGTAAAAATAAAACTTTTTACGAAAACCATAACTGAAATCAAACTATCCAGATGTTTCTTTACACAGTTTGGTTCGACCTTCTTCAAGAAGATAATCCCAAATATAAAATATAAGTAAGGTCGAAAAACAACTATGAGTTAAGCGACTGTTTAATCATGTTAGAATTTTGAATATGGTTCGATGTAACAATGAATTAGTGTAAATAACTGACATTCGTTTGTAAAAGTAGAAATGTTGATTCGTTACTCTGCAGTGTGTTAAACTGGAAATTCGACCATAATAAGGTAGGTTATCCTGGGATTTGAGTTGCATTACAATCGCTGCCGAAAGAATAATCTTTAAGAGTCCTATATTCGCCACCTTAATAGACACTGTGAACAAACCGGGAATATACAAATGGTTTGAAAAAACTCATTTCATCCCACTTAATCTGTTGCATGGTGAATAAAGCTTCAGATGATGGAGATGTGAAGCTCTCTTCTGATATTGCTTAAACAGGCAATGACAATTTTCTGATTAGAACATTTAGCTCAGTTAATTCAACACCACCAAGAGTATTCAATAACACATATATTGCATGCAACTGAAGCTATCTAGTGAATCCGATTGAACCTGAACTCAAAACCCCTTTAGAGAGATTTTCAATGCCCGAAGATTAATTTGACCCAACATTCAACTGAACTTCTTTATTTGCTGAATGAAAACAGGTGACTAGAAAACCATTGTTTCCGCTTGAACTCAAGATACACAATCTTGGTTATGATCCATAAACAAACCAGCCAGAAAAGTAACCGAAACGTCTACCACCCAGATTTAATCTGACCATGACATAGTACGTTATTATCTAAAACGAAATGGTGCTCCATTTATGGGCATGACTATTTCGCATTAATTTTGTTTTTTATTGTTTATTAATGTTCGGTATGTACATATTTCATTGTTAGTTTTTCCAACTTGGCTTTAGTATATATATATATATATATATATATATATATAGTGAGTATTAACATTCACTATTAATGTGCTAATTTTTCAGTGAATACATTTGGAACTTCTTAATTATGTCAAAAAGGAACGAGTACTATCAACAATTTAGAGATCTAAAGTTCACATATTTCTGGGCATGTTATGCATAATAAAATAAATCAATCTTACATTTTGGTTTAAGGTGATTTTCGTTCAAATGACTTCCATTATATTATATAATTCAATGCGATTTTTTATTCAAGCAATATATGTTAGGTTTTACAAAATCTTTAACTAATAATCGGTATACCATTAAATGAATTCGAATAGGAATTATCCTAATTCTTCTTGGGTTCTCATCAATAAAGTTTTTAGATTTATTGCATTTTTGTCTCAAATAAGCAAATAGAGAAGAAAGAGGATAGAAATCAGTCTTGTTCATCGCCATTTGAAGTTAGAATAACGAACTACTGGCCCAGTGTATGATTGTATCACATATTTGTTTATAAATGAAGAACTGATGCTACCGTCCCAGTTCTACCAAATTTTTATTTCACATTTATTAATTTTTGTAGTTTCCTTGACATAACAACAACGTAAAATAACCACATTCAAAAGTATAATCAAGATTTAATATAACAAGAATAAGAAAAAGAGAATTCAGGGAAGAAACTTTTCTTTTGGACGAAATCATTTACTTAAGTTGTACATTCGTATATATAGTTATATGGAAAAATATATCAGAAGGGGTTTTGTAGACATTTTAGTAATTTCAATAGTTGAAATCATGAGTCAATTGAAGCTAGACAACCGTGGAAAACCTGGAAGCACTGAACGGCCGTTTTGTCATAGCATGGGACTCCTCAGCAGTGTGCACCTACGATCCCGCTTCCCGCGAGATTCGAACCCAGGACCTATCAGACTCGCGCGCGAGCGCTTAACGATTAGACCACTAAGCCGGCATCCAACAATGTTAATGTCCAATTTCAACAAATCCACGAAGTTGCGCCACCGTACACTATTGTCTTGATGGTGGTCTAGCTTCAATTGACTCGTGAATTCAACTATTGAAATTACTAAAATGTCTACAAAACCCCTTCTGATATATTTTTCCATATAACTATATATACGAATGTACAACTTAAGTAAATGATTTCGTCGAAAAGAAAAGTTTCTTCTCTGAATTCTCTTTTTCTTACTTAATAACAAGAATATTATAGGAATGATTTGCTTCAGTAAGGTATAAAAACTTTTTTCTCTCGTTAAACTAAGTTATGCACATTATTCATTCTAATTGAAGTTTTATTAATTAGTTTATATATTCAATGATAAAGAAATATGATTTACTGATGTAATATTAACAAATAAGAAGACCAGTTTGCAGATTAAACTCTGGTTACATTTGAAATAGACACGGTAAAATAAATAGCTTGATTTATTTTTGGTAAAAAAAATACTACTAACTAGCAAAATTAAAATTTTATTCAGTAGTTCAATTATAGATCCGAGTATACAATATGAAAATTATTAAAATTAAACTTAGTTTTAACAAAGATTATTAAGATTTATATTTGAATATATAAGAAAAATATAGAACAAAATTGTATAGAGATGTATGAAAAACAGATCCACTTTTAAGTATTTAGCTAATTTTTGGTGTATTGAATCCAGTTAATAAACCGCTATCCGGGCTAGGCTTTAAAATAATCTTTTGAACATCACGAAATTGAGGATGATCAGAACCACATAGTATAGTTAATAAGGCTGATTCACATGTAGTCAAATAGACACCTGATTGACTCATTCGTTGAAATCCAAACATTCTACAATACATGTATACAAAGTATGAGAAACTAAAATAGATTTCCAGTGAATTTCATTTTGTTGTATCATGATATTTAAGAAACAAGACAAAATATAGTTGAAATATTAGGCTAAATATTGGAATACAGTAGTGCAACATTTTGCGGTTCGTCGAGACTACTAATGATATGTACGCTTCCTAAATGAGTTCTCAAATCAGCTACTTGAGTAAGTAGAAAGATTTCTATTGACCAACTAAATCGGAAGTACATGCACGAACTAATTCATAAACATAGATACATATCCCTCAGAAAACTAAGCGATAATTTTTCAACTATTAGCGTATTCCTAATACATTAGAAAGTCAACCCTAATCTTGACCAATAGTGTGAGTTTGTCAGCATCTTTCATTGACTATTTAGCTTCTATCTAACTGGCCCAGTGTATTAATCAGGCAATATAATCTCATGAGTTTATATTCATAAATCTAGGCTGGTATGATGGAATGAGAATTATATTGAGCACAGTGTGAGACGACTTAGTGGTTGGAGAACCCAACTTCTAGCCACTTAAATGTAGGATAAGGGTGCATAAAGATTAAACGATGCTACAAAAATAAAAGTAACTGATTAAGTCTTTAAATTATGGTTTAAACTAATCCTATGACATTCTGATGATTTAGTAACATTTTAGATTTTAATAGTCATCAAAAACCCTATCAGTGATTTAGCTCAAAATAATTCAAAGTTCTTATTAAGAGATTCTTGCCTTAACTACACCAATACCGGAGATGAAATTGTGAAATAAGACAATTGTTACCAATATAAATCAAAAGAAAAAAGTCAATTAAATCATCAGTGAAACGATAGTAACTCACTAATGACTGAATGAGGATATCCTCCCTTAAATATTTACTGAACTCTGAATTATTGCCTAAAGCTAGAGTAGTCAAATCGAGAACTCAAAATATTGATTTTCACTCTGACTGAAGAGGAGGGTCTATATTACTGAATAGAACGAGACAACCGTCTCATACTTCCTTATTTTTAATAATTATCCAGCTGATATCAAACTGAGATAGTCTAACGACAGAAGCACGGACTTTTCAACGAATTAATGGTTTCAGCTATCATAGAAATTGATTTTAAGTGATATTTTAAAACTCCTAGGCTCTATGATTAAAAAGAGGCTTCATTAGTAATCTTTTTTAAATTGTTGGTTCTTATAAAATTGCGGTATCTATTCAGCTTTAGATGGTTTATTACATAAACTTAATTACGGTCGAATGTATAAGATAATTATCTGTTACATAAGTGTAAAACATCTTGTACATTAATATGATATAAACAGATTAGTTACCTGTCAACCATATTTCGTGAAGATACAGCATCTACAATACAATGAACTTGTATTCCCCGTTCAATTAAATCTAATGCAGTTGACTGAACACAAACATGTGTCTCAATACCACATAATAAAACAGAATTGATTTGTTTTCCCAGCTCCAAAACATTGGCTACTTCATCTGTTAGCATAGAAAATGATCTCTTTGAAATGATGGGAATACCACTTAAATCTCCTAACTCTTTGACGGTAGGACCTAAACCTGAATAACGAAAGGGTTTCCAAAGTATTTTAATAGTAAACTTCATAAAGGATGTACTGAACAGCACTATCGTTGGAAAAACATAAGTTTAGCTATTACTTTCAATATAATATTTTACTACCTACTTTTCAAGATCATGTAAACAGTTATCATTACCTATATGTAGACTTTTATAGAACAATAAAAGTTCTGTTGTAAAAACCAGTCTTATTTTCTCACTTAAAAGTCCAATGATTTGTTGTTGTATAAGTTTACGCGGTCAATAATAATCGCATTATATACGTCTACTGATTAGTGTTATCACTAGATCTTTACATTCCAGTGCAAAGCATAACAAGTATATTGCCCAAAGTAATTGTAACCTTAGGAAACCCAAACAGGTTAGATTAAGTAGACAATATATTGTGTCTAACTCTTCGTCCAAAACATGTGACGAATGTATAAGATTTCTGACTGAACAAGAGAAAGAACTAATTTAAACAGCACAATTACTAAACGTCTGGACTTTTACTACTATCAACGTTGTGAAATTTTCTTCCACATGATATATATATATATACTTACAATATTTTGTTTAGTCTGTAAAATTTGTTTACACCCTTGGTATAGAATACTGATGTGTGATCTAAATCAACAACATAATGTGAACCCATTCCGCAAGTAGTTGTAAATATCACAAGTTGTAATCAGCTGAGGAGAACCAAACGAAATAAGAGGAATTCGTGCTATTGAGCTCAAATTTTTGTTCTTACCCTCTTTAATATGATAAAAGGAAGTACGTTTATGGAAAAAACCCCGTTATTATCTGAACTATATACTATAAGCGCTACTTTTGTCATCAGTTTTTGTTTGGTTTATTCTTCCTTATCTCTGTTGTAGAATTTGACAACCTGAAATTATACACTAATATTGGTTTTGTCTGTTGGGTGACATTTTCTACTTAGATTTTTAAATGGTTTATTTATGTAAAACTTCCTCACATGTTTGGTTTCAATTTGTTTGTGAACGTTTGAAACAATCATCGTCGCTGAACTACCTAGTAATTCCGAATGTTTCTACCATGTCAAATAAAAAGGCGTAAGCTTTATCAGTCATTGAGGGGAATTAGTTTAGATGCAGCGATAATATAATCACTGTACTCCCATTTTAAGATGCTTTTTATCAACATATGTAATACATTTTTAATAGAGTTCAGGTTATGCAAGTTCCAAAGAACAATGATAAATGACAATTAATTTTACGAGGCGCAACTGTTATCTTGAATTATAACACCACTAAGACAGATTTTCAATTTACCACTTCGCTGAAACACCCACAAAAATGTCACCAGGTTTATTATTTATATATTTATTTATTTAAACACAAATATTAGTACGAAGGGGCACAAAATACATATACGCCACACAAGTCTCTTGACTGGTGTGTGGGCTATGATACTGCCCGGGTGCCCAAACCGAAGCAGGTGATTTTCATAGGGAGCCACACCCGGAGCCTTTGACCTAGAGGTCTGATTCATGGGGTAGTGGAGCAATGTCAGGAGGTACTTTCCCATGGTAGCCGGTGACCAACGACTGATTCATACGCCATTTATTCCTTCAGGATACTGGAGCCCATTTGCCCCATTGGTTTGGAATCAGGGTTTCCAACTCCCCTAGGTGGATCCTCCGTGTTCACTACCCCAGTTAAGGCACCGGACATTGGCTTTTCGTTCTCTCAATTTCGTAAACAACACCCGCTCTGCGAGTAGGACTTTCCTGACAGTGGCTGTATACGCGTGGCCATGTAAGAGCATTTCGAGAGGGAGAGCTGACTCTCCTCATCCTCGGCCGTACCAGAGCATTTGGGGGCACCAGGATTACACAAGAAGACTATTTTGTAAATATACGAAGATTATGTCGATCATTGTTCTAACAGAGGATAATTCCCAGAATATGGCCAAAAAACAAATCTATATGGTTTCGTGCAAGCTTAAACCAATAGACATCCCAATACAGAACAAAGAAATACCTCAAATACGAATAAATCGAGGTGTTACAGTTAACGCTTTTTATACAAAATATCTCATAAGAATATAAACCACACTTTAAAAACATGCTAGAATACTATTCTTCCCAAAACACACCTTTAGGGTACATTTCAGTAACTACAATGCGCATTCCTAGCATTCGAGCAGCTGTTAACATCCGACTAGACGTTTCGACAATTGCATCAAAATGACTAATAGTTGGACGAAATTTTTCCTGTATATCACATAACAATAAAGCAGTACGTGGTAGTAATAGTTTGCCAACTCGTGAAATGCCAGACATAATACTGCAACAGAAATAGTATACAACACAACTTTTATGTTATATCGACAAAAGGTAATCAAACAAACACGTCTAACGATCAACAAAGAGAGTATATACGTTTATTAAAATTAGTAGCGAACACGTCATTTGAAGCGGTGGAAATAAGAAAATCGCTGCTAATGTCACAGGTGTGAACTATTTAGAAGTCAAACGCAATGTAGATCCTAGCACATGAGATTAGGTTGACATACCACACTAGTACAGCGAGATGAAATTGTCAGGGCGGATCCCAGAGGTAGCAATAAAATCGATAAAAACAGAAAAATTAGGTATCGAAAATACAAGTTGAGAAAATAAAAGTTAGTGAAATCATAGACACTTAGGATCTAATTGAAGACAAAGAGTGAACGCACCTGCACCATTGCAAACAATTTTGAGCCGTGCCGTCCAAAGTTTCTGACCATTAGTTAGTGCTTTATGATTCACAATGATTATCAAGTTACAGTTGGTCTGAAATGTAAACTCTTTAAATATTGATTAAACAACCACCAAAGGCTTCCTCTCAACCATATAAGTGAACACACGTCGGGGGACCGAAACACAGATTTGTTCGCGAAAGGTAGTTAACGTTTAGCTACAGACTTGTAAGTTCTAACCCTGATTAATTTATTTTGGTTTAATTTTGCTCAAATAGAAGAATCTATTACGACTACTATTGAATGGGTATTTCGTCGATCCGATGTAATCTACATGTTCAGACCAAAAATTAAATCGAGAACAGTCGTTGCGAGTGAAAAAGCCCTTTACATAAGAGGATATACCCAGAATTGTCTTAACGTACCGACTAAGTTGAACTACTTTGAGGATAAACGATGCTAGTCAGTAATGATCATCTACCCAGAAACCGGTTGACCATTGTATTCAATTGATTCAGAGGAGCTATTTAGTATGGTCCATGTGTTACAGAATGTGCAATCAGGAAAGAGGTGAAGAAATTTATAAATATGACTATCATTTATCACCTGATAAATAAACGTAAGAGGAGCTTCTCAAGTTTTATGTAGTGTCTTAAGTACGTTTCTAAAAGGGACACTAAGTTGAAGAAACCTGGTAAACAAAGAACATTAGGCTTCTTGATCTACACTGCATTACAATTGGCTAATCTCATCTTTGATCAGAATGGTTAATTTTAGTGAGCCAGATAAATGCAACGTAGATTGGTTAATTTAACTACATATTATAAGCTCCTAACTAAAAATTCACTATTTTCCGTTTTTAAAATTGCAGATCTTAACTTGAAGAATTTGCAACACCAATGCAGCTACAACATTTATGTATGTCATACCGATTACAATATTAAATTAACGAATTAATACTAGTGTTCGGGGGTAAAGTTGGAGAAAATGAGAATCTAGTTAAGCATTCATGATTTTTTAATATCTTACCGAGATCTGTAAATTATTTAAATTCAAACGGTCTAGCTTCTCTTAATTTATTAACTAGCAGTTGGCCATACAAAACGTAATAATGACTAGCTATTTTAGTCATGACGCTGTGACTAACTTTGGTGAATATGATTTGCTACAACAACTGTGTGCTACGGATTTGTTGCATGAACCAAGCCTATAAGTTCGTTTGGTGGTGGGAAATACTTCTGATCAAAACTAGCAGCTGAAATGTCCATCCCTCAATCTGATGCGTCATTATTCATGAACAATACTGGTGGAGGCATTGCCAGTTTTCATTCATGTTTGACAGGAGTGACTCATGAATTTACAAAACTTCACATTAAAGGTAGTAAGATTTGCTGTATGACAGGTATTCTACACACACACACACACACACACACACACACACACACACACACCGAAAATCACTAGTTAGTTAGCGAAACAGATCAGTTATAAAAATGAGGTCACATATACGAATTCACTCTACTAACTGAAGCTTGGATAGCCAGGCTGTGTCACTATGATAGGTGTACAAGGTTGATAGGCTAAAACTAACAATACAATTAGAGCGTTCACAAGACGGCTTAGAAAAGACCGAATGACTTTAGTTACAGCTTCTAGGTCAACCAAAGGACGTGTTTACTGCGCAGCAGTTCGTTCCGTCCTACTTTGTGGCAGTGAAACATGGCCGGTAAGAGTAGAGGATATTCGTAGGTTACTAGTATTTGATCATAGGTGTCTTCGAAGCATTGCTCGTATATCCTGGGACCATCGAGTAAGTAACGCAGTTGTTAGAAAACGGGTACTAAGTAAGGATGGCAAATCAATTGATGACGTAGTGAAACTTCATCAGTTAAGATGGCTGGGACATGTGTTACGTATTCCCAACCACCGACTGCCTCGACGTGCGATGTTCAGTGGTATAGGAGTAGGTTGGAAGAAAGCTAGGGGCGGCCAGACCAAAACATGGCACAAGCCCATGAAGTCACTGACAAGTGGACTGTGTCATGTCGGTAGGTGTAGACTACCTGGTTGGGGACCGCGAGATGATAGCAACCGATGGTTAGAGACCCTGAATGACATGGCTCAAAGTCGTTTGCAATGGTGCAGGTGCATCCACTCTTTGTGTTATCCCAAATTTTAATCTCCTTGTCTCTTTTTTCTCTTCCCAAATTTATCTCACTGTATTACACTCTTTAAATAACATCTCCAAACCCTAATCTTTCCGATTACTGCTTATACTCTTACTACCTCTACCACTATGGGATTTGAATCGACAACTGCATCTCTGTGCTAATGTGGTATGGCAACTCGAACTGATGTACGTGCGTACGAAGTTCTACGTTGTTAATGACTGACTGACAGCTTCTAGGAGTAAACAGTACCCAAGATTTCAATGCGCTCTATTGTCTTTGTACACCAATTGACCGTAAGAGTACCCCTTTGAGTTGAATAGCTTAGCTGTTAGTGTCAAGCAATATGTTCTAGTTCTTAGCGCAGATGGATATGCTGAATAACCAAAATTTTATTTATTTATTTGAACACATAGATATTGGTACAAGGGGGCACCAAATACATATGCGCCACACGAATCTCATTCGATATGTGTGAGGGCTGTGATACTGTCCGCACAGCCAAACCGGAGCAGGTGGTTTTCATAGGGGGGCACACCCGGAGCCTTCGACCTGAAGGTTTGATCCACAAGGCAGTGGAGCATGGTAAGGAGATGAAGTCCCATGGTAGCCGGTGACCAACGATTGGTTCATACACCATTTGTTCTCGCAGGATACTGGAGCCCATGTGCACGATTGATTTTGTTTGGGTTCCGGTTAAAGCGCCAGACATTCGCTTTTCGTCCCCTCATTTTCGTAAACAACACCCCCGCCACGAGAAGGCAGTGAGTAGGACTTCCCTGGCAGAGGCTATATACGTGTGGCCACGTGAGAGCATTTCGAGAGGGAGAGCGGACTCTCCCCACTCTCGGCCGTACCAGGGCATTTGGGGGCGAATAACCAAAAACAAAGAATACGACTATGCAACTCTTGGAACATATGTTTCATATGCGTTTCTTGGGTAGCAACAATACCCAAAGGTTGAGAAGACCAAAAACGACTCGATATAATTTGAAAACAACCTTGCATGTCAAGGAGATATGCATTTGTTGGTTCAAGGTATGTGAAGAACACAATGTTGACATGACAAATTCATGATATTGAATCACTAAATAAACAATTTTAAGTAACTGGTATCCTTTATCAGATGTGGAATGGATCAAAATCGATTACAATGGAGAAGACGTACTCTTTATTATCCTGTCTTATAACTCTTTAGTCGTTTGTTAATCTATTCGTACTTTACTTATTTGTTTTTTCCTCCGTCTACATATATTTCTCCTCCCCTCGACCACTTTATAATACTGAAACTCAAAGCAATATACATGTCTTAGAGATTTTACATAGTTGTACATTATTTTAAGAAAGAAAATACGCACTTTACTTATGGATTTTTACCACAGATTATTAACTTCGCTTATGCCTAGATGAACGATTTCGCTAACAGTGGTATACTTATTAGATCTTGCACACTTTAGGAAACAGTAACCAAAGAGAGGTTAGATTTCCTTTGTATCTTCAATCATTAATTTGTGTGGTCTCGCAAACCTTAGTAAGATATCGTCAAATTCAATACAACTTAAATCCAAAACAACTCCGTAAATCATTGTAATATCATAATACATGTTCAGGGACTTGAATAATTTAGTACTTGAAATCTGTTATTTCAAGTCAAGCTAAGACAACTAAGAATGAAAACTTGTCTTGACACTAGGGCCAATAAGAATACGTTTTGTATGCATGCACTAACCTTTCTGTAAACATACTCATATAAAAGTATTTGTCTACCATTTCAAACAGTCTATTGTTACAAAAGCAAACAAACATATATGCACAGGATTAAGTACGACTGAAAAATAGAGAAGTTTCAGAAAAGTATAATTGGACATTATGAAATCAAATCACAACCTCATCAATGAATCATAGTCTATATATGATTACTATTTATTAATTACATTCAATCTTAAGGAAATTAATTGGTACCAAGCCGCCAACTTGATCACGTTCTCGCCAGACCTCACAGAATCCATCAGGAAGTAGTTTCCTGATTTGAACTTCATCATCGCACTGCAAGGTATAATGTGAATAGTAATTGCAAATAAACTTTATCATTAAATATACTGACATGTACGAAATAGTTTTAACTTTAAAATGTTGTACGCAACCACCTGGAAAAACGTACAAACTAGGGGGTGCAACCCCACATTCTTCAAGAAAGATTCAAAGGTTAGCATAACATTTGTAACTGCAGCTGAGGAATGTAACAAAAAAGTACGCGGTACAAGTTAAATTTAGCTTATCAATTGCGGCACGCAGGAAAGCTAATGAGGTTATGGATTAAGAATTTACAGGTTGGTGAACCTGGCCTGTAGTTGCTAAAACAAATAAACAGAGTATGGCCAATACATGATATGTAGTGGTACAATGTGGACGAGTGATGACTGCCCATGAGACCGGATTACTGACATACGACTGTGAATAATTACAAATTAAATCTAAGAACATTAGTTAGAGGAATAGGTCTTTTTGCCAAATAAAACTACAGGCTTGTATACAAAAGCATTCACAAAAATAACGTAACTTGATGTCATGAACGACCAGACAAAACTAATTTTTTAGGTCTATCATTCACCGGTGAAGTAGAGCCAAACTGGTAGGCTTCACCATTATATCGGATTTAACAAGGATAGTTTAAAAGTAAGTTACTTGTAATTTCTGCTAGCACAAGCGAAAGGAATTTTTAATGAGAAATCACCTAAACTAACACCAGGAAAATCCTGATCAATTTGATTACAGTTTTGTAACATACATATTAAGGACCTACAGTACGTCATGTTTCTCAGGCTTTCTGCAGATGTTAGTTACGTAGGGTCTGGGACAAATCTACACAGATATAAATTGTTACGCTTTACATAAGCACATAAGGAGAAAATTAACAAGATGAAGTGGATGAGTTGGGCGGAATTAGTAGTAAAATAAATGGCATATAAGCCGAGAACGAAATTTAGATTTCCTAGAAAAACAACAGAGACGTCATGGAAAGGAAATGAACTATGGCTTTGAGGAATATAAATTGGGATTTAAACCAAATTTGACCGACACCACTCAGGTTCTATAACTACAGATTAAGATTACCTTGGGAACTTTAACTTGCAAGTCTGGAACTGCTTGCACGACTTAGTATAATGGCCAATGGTTTCATGGACTGATGCTACATTTTGGTCAAGTTACATACAATCATTTCCAACCTATTTCTACTTCACAGTAGGTGATGCGTGAGATATACTACATACCCTCAGGCACCTTGGCCAATAAAGACTGAAGACTGTATTGGCTATTTGATTTTGCTACACATAAAAAATAATTTGAAGAATCATACAAAGGAATACCAGCAACTTAAATTCATTCCCAACCGCAGACTGAAAAACAACTCTTTGGATTACCGTATTATTTAATCTACAGCATGTAATATCGTAAAGTGATTTAAATATAACGTGTTGAACATCTTAAAAACGAACTAACCTCCACTTTCAAGTGATTTGTCGCGAAGATACTGGGATTTCTAGCCCTTACAACCTTTCCAGTAGCCGGTAACTGAACAGATTTCAGCATATGACAATAGGTTAATCCAAGTTGGTCACCAAGACCCTTTAATCTTGCAACAATTTCAGGTGTAAACTAGGAAAAAAGGGGTGTCATGGATACGTCAGTAAATAATATGAAGGATATTGTGATGGTAATAAAATTTATGGGTGACTTTTGAACGATGCTAGCGATATTGAGACAACTCATCTATTTACCAGGGTCAAAAGAGGACTAAAAATTAATATGAGCAATTAGGACTACGACTTACGGTTAGAAATCAAAGGGTTTTCATCACGAACTGGCATCAGCTATAATCAAAAATGCCATTTAATTATATGGATGTGTAAATCTTGAGCTAAAATCCAAGACTTCATATCCTTATTTTCACTGGTTTGTCCATAAATTATGGAATCGCCGATATTGTTGACAGGTTTAGTCCAGTATATTTTTTAAAACAAACCAAGTCTGCAAGTTAACGTAACCGAGACGTTATAGCAGATGTTATATCTAGTTGCGGCACAGTAGACCAAAAACGATTTGCGGTTGAGCGATGAGACTGGTTCTCACAAGCGGAAAGCTGGCTTGGTGATCAAAGGGCGGCCTGCTTGAGCATCTGGGCTACCTGTTCCTGCCATCTAGATATTTCAACAAGTTATCTACTTTTGTTTGTTTTAATATATCATTATGTTTATTAATCGCATGACCTATTCTGCTGCGTTTCTGAAAAGTGTACAACCTTTCGTTGTCAAAGTTACAAAAAACTCAATAAGAGACAATGTGGTTGCTGGCAATATACAGCGAAAGGAATGCACATTATTCAGATGTTCATTTACTGAACTGCTAACATCTAACTGGCGATCACTCAAATATTTATCGCCAGGACCGACCAAGAAGAAACGGAAACTTGTTGAAATGCTTTACGCTGAGAATTCTACATTGTACCAAAAATATAATATTGAATAAAGCTGATAATAATAATAATAATAATAATAATAATAATAATCAGTACCTAAATCCCAACAACTTGATTGAGTTATCCTGTATTTACCCCAGGTACGAAGGTCGAGCATTTATACAACCCTTTAGACGAAAAATTAGATCAAAACTAGATACATGAACATTTATCTAGTTTCTAGGACTTGCTGATTTAAGTAGTAACGCGATAGGAAATTGTAAAACAGCGGTCAGTATAACATTGAGATTTGAGGTGAGGTATCATCATGACATTAAAGCTATTTCCGAATTATAGATTGCGTGCAGTAAAAACACGGGAAAATTTTGTCATTAATCCAAAAAAAACTACATCACTCACCGGAGTTAAATAATTTGAAGGAACCCAACCGATACGGTTATCGCCTGATTTACATAGAATCCACTCCCGCTTTTGTCTTATGAATGTTAACAAATCTCCCCTCTGAAAAGACAAATCTCCCTCTTCCTAGAAAATAACGGGACGAGAGAAGTAATAACCTGTGCTTGAAACGAATATAAAGCAGCATAAGTAGCCTTCTGGGCTGGCTGTCTCATACGAGTACTCGAAGAGTGTGAAGTATGAAGTCTAACCAACTCATCGAGCGAAGAATAGAGAGTGTCGCCAAACTTGAACTTTTTTAGTTGAGGTGCCCATGTAAGTAAGTAACGCTTGACTTCGTTGGCCTCTCTGATTATTAGCACGTAAAAATAGACATATATACTTTATCGCAAGCACGTAACCTGACTTTGTAGTGCTGTCACGTATCAGGAATGTTCCAACAGGCTGATCAATTAGAATCTCATTAGCTTTTTCTCTGCTTATTTCACCAAAATACCACCTACAATATCGAAACAAATCATATAAACTAACGGAGCATCTGGAACTAGTTCGACCGCCATTTATTTCAAGGTCAGCCTTCAGTAATAAGGATAGGAGGTCTATCGACCTATATTAATCATTGCAGTTTGTAATACTATGGAGGTCCAATCTCGTTATGAATATATCAACAGAAGGTGCTGATATTACGTGTTCCAGTAGAGAATTCCAGTAATTCACTACTCGATGCGAGAAACGAAAATCCAAACGAAAACTATTTGATCTCGGTTTTTTGAACTTTCTTCGAATGTCCTCTCAAATGATCAGTCCTAGACGGAAGTAAAAGATAAGAAATGTTAATACCAAAGTCATCATTCAGTATAAGATAGGCCAATATTAGATCACCTCGTGTTCTACGGTAAGATAACAGAAATTAGTTAAGGTGTATCAGTCTGTCTTCATAAGATAGGTCAGATAGACCATGTATCATGTTAGTACCTCATCGTTGGACTCTTTCCAGAATCTCCGCTTCATACATCAAATGAGGACTCGCTACTTGAATCCCATATTGTAAATGTGATGGCACATAATTCGGGTATAATAATCTAAACATTTTATCATCTAAATACTGGAAAGACCTACGAATAGACCATAATACCCTATAGCCTTTCGCAGCAGCAGCCTTACAGTGACTAGTGATTTTGATATCACTGCTTAATATGACTCCCAAATCTTTATAGTTTCTTACTTTGGGTAGCCCGACCGTTGTTGCTACCTTGACGTGGTGGTCGGGCTTGTCTATCGTGATGAAGCAACCGAGCTATACTGACTGGAACAACTGTTCCTCAAGGTCCTACCATGTCAGACAGGTCGGTTGAAGAGCGATAAGACTAAAAGCAACAAACCCAAGGTCCGAAGGCGAAGTCGTACTGCTGACTGTACAGAGGTGTGACAGGAGTAAGGTGTTTCCTTCAGACAACCAGCATGACAGCGATGCTGCCTACCCACAAGGAGGGGTGTGGTTAAAAAAAGTCGACCCTAAAAATGCACACCTCACCTTATCCCACGGATATCCGTCTCCGGCGGTAAGGTCTCAACAAGTACGGAGATAACACAAAAATTACTCACAGAAAAGTCGTGTGTGACTGACCTCAAGCAGTTGTCCCTTTGGCACTGCGGTCACGCTCTCAGGTCACTAAGACCACCTCTAATCCAATTTCCTTTTCAGGTACCTCCAGAAGAACCCTTCCACTGTGTGGGCAACCGGGAAGTGATAACCGTCCTCATACCTCTGACAGCACTCAAGACCACTGTATTCATGATCAACCTCCCTCTTCAACTCCTATTATTCCTCCTACATTGACTTTCAACTCTGAACTTCTTTCGGCTTCCTCCTCAAGTGTCACCATGTCCAACGATTCTAGTGCTCAAAACACTGTCCCAGGTCTACTGAAACTTCGCTCCAAACTACACATTGGAGCCTTCAACGTACGCACCCTACGTCGAATCGGTCAGCAGGCCTCCTTGGCTAAAACACTAGAATCTCGTATCATTGATGTATGCTTTGTCTCCGAAACACGCATACAGGATCATAGTGCGGTCATTCACTTGACCTCACCTCGGCAGAACAGAGAGCCGACGAGATACACCCTCCGTGTATCTGGTGACCCGATGGCCAGTTCTTGTGAACTGGCAGGTGTAGGCATAGCACTAAGCATGAGGGCGGAACAAGCACTGTTAGAGTGGATCCTCGTTAACAGTCGTTTATGTGCTTTTCGAGTAAACGGCTCCTTAAGAACTCGGAAGGATAGGGACACACGTCGTTGCCTTTTTGTCGTTTCTGCCTACGTTCCCACTGACTGCAGCTCGGATGAAGTGAAAGATGAATTTTACAGAAAGCTAAACGTTCAGACATAGTACTGGTAGGGGGTGACTTTAATACCCAGATAGGTAGTTTAAACCAAACAGAAATTTATTTAGGTGGGTATATTAGTATTCCGGCACAGCGAACAGATAATGGTGATCGTCTGCTGCAACTGTGCTCAGACAATCGTTTGTTTTTAGCAAAAATAAATCTTCAGCATAAGGAAAGACATCGCTTAACATGGCGACCCGCTACACCAAACCAACGATGGACTCAAATAGACCATATTGCCATCAGTCATCGTTGGAGAGGGTCGGTAGAAGATTGTCGCTCATTCTGGAGTACCTACTTTGACTCCGACCATGCCCTAATACGGGCACGCATCTGCTTGCGCCTCACTGGATGCAAAAAAGCCACAGTAAAAAGACCCATTAGAACTGAATTGAGTAACGAGAAAACCAAAAGTAGGTTCCAGGAACAACTGAGGTCACACTTAGGTAGTTCTGAAGACGAGGCTGACCCAAATGTTGCTTGGAAAGACATACAAGCAGTTGTGGAAACAGCAGTAACATCTATCAGTGATTTAAACCACAGGGTTACAAAAAACCAATAGATTTCCTCAAGGTCTATTGCACTGATGGATTCTCGTAAACTCATTCCATCAGGTTCTGAACATGATGAAGAGCGAAAACAAATCAGATCTAGGTTAAGAAAAAGTCTAAAGAACGACCGTGAGCAGTGGTGGGTAACGAAAGCAAAAGAGATGGAAAAGGCGGCGACTATAGGGAACACAAGACAGCTTTACAGACTAATAAAGGAAACTGGAATTAATAAGTCAAGTGTAAGTGAGATTATATCGGATAAAGACGACACGCTCATCTGCTCCAAGTCCAGGCGTTTAGAACGATGGGCGGAACATTTCAGAGAACAGTTCAGCTGGCCTTCAGCTACTCTACAACTGCCGTCCATTCCCAGACAGTGTGAATGGAACATTGAAGTAGGTCCCCCAATTCTAGCAGAAGTTCAAAAGGCTATAGTTAATCTGAAACGAGGAAGGGCAGCTGGTCCAGATGGATTGGCTCCAGAAGTCTTTAAGGATGGTGGTCCAATTTTAGTGATTAGGTTGACTAATATTTTAGCTAAAATCTGGGACATGGATGTGATCTCATCTGACTGGTCGCAATCACTTATCGTCCCAATATATAGGAGAGGGTCAAAATCATCCTGTGAAAACCATAGAGGGATTAGTTTAACTAATATAGTATCTGAAATACTAGCCTAACTAAGACTCATGAACTGCAAACACGAGAGAAACAAGCTGGCTTCAGACCTGGTTGTGGATGCATCGACCACATATTCACCATTCGTCAGGTTCTAGAACATAGGCATACTTATCGGCATCCGACAATGGTGGTCTTTCTTGACTTAAAAGCAGCATTTGACTCTGTAGACCGCGAGATTTTGTGGGAGTGTCTGTCATTGAAAGGCGTACCCCAGAAGTACATAAACCTTGTAAAGGCTCTTTACTCGAACACTACTAGTCGAGTTAGAGCTTATGGCGAACTGTCATCTGCTTTTGCAACCTCAAGTGGTGTCCGTCAAGGCTGTCCACTTTCTCCGTTTTTGTTTAACTTCATCATAGACCTACTGATGGAAATAACATTCTCGTCTACTGAACTCTCGGGTATTGATCTCCTTCCAGCAGGTCCACTCATCGACTTAGAATACGCAGATGACATAGTCCTGTTTGATGAAGACGCTGACAAAATGCAGAGTCTTCTGATAGCACTGAGCAACAATGCCAGAATGTTTGGAATACGCTTCTCTCCCTCTAAATGCAAGTTGTTGCTTCAGGAGTGGTCTGCGTCAACACCTGAAGTAGTCGAACGCGTTGACAACTTCACTTATCTTGGAAGTCTGATCAGCCCAAATGGGTTGGTGTCTGACGAAATCTCAGCACGGATTCGAAAAGCTCGTTTGGCTTTTGCCAACTTACGTCACCTGTGGCGAAGGCGAGATATCCGTCTATCAATAAAAGGACGAGTATACTGCGCGGCAGTCCACAGGAATATTCTGATCTTTTGCAGCAGCCCAATGAGAAGATTTGTCAAGCATGATAGGCCTCTCCAAAAACCATGTTGTTCCCTGGAGAAAAGGTTATGCCCTTTCAACATAGTTTATAAAAGATATTCGTATGATTTTTTTCAGCAGTTTTACAACTGCACTAGTTAAGCTAACGGGTCTATAGTTACTAACTAAATCCGTACTCCCAGCCTTATACACCTGACTTATTATAGTGTCTTTCCGGTCTCTTGGCAGTCTCGACTGCCTTAGAGACATGTCAAACAGTGTCGCTAATGGTTCAGCAATTTCATTTGATAGGGCTTTCATAATCCTAGGATGAGTATCATCAAGACCACTGGACTTATCAGGTTTGAGACACTGAAGTAGCCTTAAAACAGTACCTTTCGCAATGACTACTGGGTCCATCAGTGAGCCTCCGCGATCACAGTGAATCGTTGGTCGTTCCTCATTACCGATAAAAAACACTTTACTGAAATATTCCGATAAAGCTTCAGCTTTTTCGGTATCATTTTCTGCCAAGATTAACGGATTTTTCTGTATCAAAAGTGGTAGAATTCCATCGCTTTTCTAAGGTCATCTTTTCAAATACGAGAATAACCGTTTCGGACTATATCTAGAATCCCTAACCAATCGTTTTTCATATGATCGTCTAGTATTACTTATTGACACTTTACAGGCATTCCTAATCTTACAATAACTGGGTATGTATTGTTCTAAGCCAGTAGAGATGAACATATTCCAGTTCCTCTTCCTTTTTCTAAGGAGTTTCCTGACTGTTTTCGTTATCCATGGTGGACTGTTATTCGGTCTTCGCGGTACCAGGTATGGTATGAACGGGGACGTAACTAAACTAAACTTACCTTTAAACACAGACCATGCTTCTTCAACTGATAAGTTAATATCTACAAACCAATCTGTCTTAGCCTTGTATTCCTGAGTGGCTGATATGTTAGCTTTTCATACATTTGGGCTGGGTGTAACCTGATCGTATATCATGTCCCTAGTTCTAAACATGAATGACAAAACAGCGTGATCGCTGTTCACTAATGTTGGGAGACTATTTAGGTCGACAATATCCTCAGTATCATAAGTGATTGTCAAGTCCAACAGAGAAGAACCCTGGTTAGCACCAAA